ATCCAAAATCACGTAATAAAAGATCTTAGATTATCGCATCTATATATATATTACTTTATATAAAAACTACTAGTACCATTTTTAGATATTCACAAATTTGGAATGTGTTTTGTTGTACGGGAAATATTCGATCGTAAAGGAAGGTTCGTTGCGACTTGGAACGTTATTATTGTTATTACGATCAGTTATATTCAGAAGCGAAACAGAATCCTGAATCATTGCTCTACCACTTTATTAGACTGAATTTTTTGGAAAGGATGAAATCAAAACCAAAGTGTCAAACATTGTGATATGCCATTTTTGTTGTGCTGGCTTGTGTCAAAATGAAAATAAAAAAAGTTGAAATTTGTTGAACAGAAACAGAAATATTTCTATTCTTCAAAAATAATAAATCTTGATAGCAAATACCATGTATTGCATACAATTGAACAATCATTCATTTTTGTGAAGCAAACACTTGATTGGAAATCAAGATTTTTTTTTTGTATGATATCGGCCATTAGGTTTTCATCTATCTCTGGCATTTAGAATATCCGTAATGACCAAAAACTAATGGCCATGTCTTGGGAGCCTTTAACCCAGACCATAAAGCGTCAAAAGGATTCATCACATGATGTATTAACATTTTCTGGTCACAAGACCAGGAATTCGAAAAGGCTATTCCATTATTACTATTATTGGTTAATTAATAATAAATGAACAAAAAATAAACCAGTTTTGACCATTTAAAGAATGGCGTACGGTCTGAATAAAAAATCATTGTTATTATTTTATTGTTGCCCTTTGCTGAGATTTCCTTTTTGGAAAAAGAAAATAAACAAAAATCCCGTTAGTGAAAAAACACAACTTGATCGTAACTAAATTAGAATACATTTTCATTCCCCCACCATTTCAAAGTTATTCTTTGGTGTTGATTAAACTTGGTTAATTTTTTTCACCCCCAATCCCAACCAATTTTGGAAATTATTGCGCTTTTTTATATATTTGAAAAGAAAAAAATCTGGTTGATTAAAACGATCTTTGATCTGGGATAAATAAATAAAATGAATAAATGAATAAACTAATTTATCTTTCAAATATTTTTTACTCACTCGCTTATCATCATCATCATCATTATTGACATTACTGTTAATATTATTGTTGGTATTACTTTTACTATTATTATTACCATCATCACCATTATTATTATTATAAGATATTAATATATTATTAGGATTTAAATTGTTGTGTGTTAAATTTGCTTTATGTATGTCTCTCAATCCTTTAATTATATCATATAATATATTAATTCTTTGTTCCCAGCTTAAAACTTTATGATATTTTGATAGAAATTGATTTAGATTGATGGAATTTGTATGTTGATATATTAGCACATAATCTTTTGTTATGGGTTCCCGTGTTATACCATATAATTGGGGTATTTTGTCACTATTTATGTTCAAGTGATAATTTTTTAACTATATTTATATTTGATATATATAATAGAAAAAAAATTAATAAATATTTATAGATAGATATATATATATACATTATAGATATATTCGTTTATTTCCTAACCTGAGTAATAAAATCTTTTGAAATATTTTCAGAATTTAAAATTTGTTTAAGCATTACTAATTTATTTTTATCTTCATCGTTATTAGCATCATCATTAAACGGTGATGTTGATTTTGGTACATTTGTAATATATTTGATTGCGATTGTTGATGAATCCCTTCTCACCTGATTATTTATCAACTAGTAATTAAAAAAAAATTTTTAAAAATTGATAAATACAAGGATTAAAAGTAAAGAGTTAAATTAATCAATTAATTAAAAACCTTTTTCTTTTTTTTTTAATGGAAGTTTAAATAATTTTTTAAAGAATCTATTTGTTTCTTTTCTCTATTAATTATAAAAATTTAATTTATATTAGAGCTGTTTAAATAAATTGATATGTGTCAATTGAATAATAAATATTTACTTTAATTTGTATCCCTTGTACTTGTCCGTTTCCATATACATTGCCACTACCACCATCATCACCGTCATTTCCCAATTTGGTATCATCATCATGATCAGCAAATCTTAATTTTAAAGTTTTTCTCATCTCATATATTTTTTTCATTCTAACAATAAAATCTTGTAATAAATCATTCCATAATTCACCGTCTAATTTGTCATTATTTAATTTCTCCGATAATTCTTTATTATTAAATTTTAAATAATCCAAAATAATTTCTAATTGTGTATTATATACCCACTGTTTCAATGTGCCATTAAATCTATTGTTATTATTACTGATCCATTTGGATTCGGATAATACATTTTTTGGAGTCGTGTTTATTTCTTTGATGATTTGAAATTCTTCTTCATAATTTCCAAAATATCTTAAAAATTTATAGTAATTTGGTACTTCCAATTGCGTCTCTCTAATAAACGAGTCGATTTCTTTATTGTCAGATGTCCATTTATGAAAATTCGATTGGAATAGAAATGATTCACATTGATAACACCAATTTTCCATTAAATAGTTATTATTACATTGAAAACATGTTGTTGGGAATTTAATTACATTGTTGATATTGTTGATTTTGTTGGTGTTGTCATTATTACCATCATTGTTTATATTCTTGACGTTACCATCACCATTATTGACATTATTAACGTTATTATTGAGAAAGAGAGTTTTATCATCGAATGTTTTTCTTATTCCATCAAAAAACCAATTAACAAACCTCAATACAGATTCTTCTGATACAAGACAGCTAAATATTATCTCGTGTAATTTATCACTCATTGTCCACATTTCTCCCGTTGTGTTTGTTGCTGTTGCTGTCGCTGTTGATGCTAGTTGTTGTAAAAATGATAATTAATTAACCAATTTGATTGAATGATCATTATTAATATTATTAAATAAATAAATAAATAATAAAACTTGCCTCTTTTTGTATCCTGAGAGAAATTACTATTTACTGATGATCCATACATACTACTTCTATTACTATGACCGGTTCTTGATTCAAGTATCATTGCAACCACTGCCACGTTTACATGATGTCTTACATGATCTGGTAATTCCATTTTTCAAAGAATTTTATATTTATAATTTTTATAATTTTTAATTTTTAATTTTTAATTATTTTCTATATTTTCTATTCAATATATAATATATATGCATATGTTGATTTAAATCTTTTTTAATCTATTGATTTTTTTGCGAGAATGGGATGTTGTAAGCAAAAGAATGTTTGAGAGAGTAGAGGAATAATGTGTGATTGTTGCTTTATTTTTTTTTTTAATAAAAACAGTTACCTATTTATTTAAAAATATTTTTTTTATTGGGTATACTACAAACAAAGTGAACAGTTTTGAACAGTTTGAACAGTTTCTATTGTTTCTATTGGCTGGATGTACTGTAAAATAAAAAAAATATTTTGTTTCGTACACTAGTAGTCTCGATCATGATGGGCTGGCCGACTTATCGAAACATGTGACTTATAAAAAATTACAATAATGATAATTTTGTGTTAATTTATTTACAATTTACACAAATTTTGTTTATTATTATTTATAAATAAACATAAATAAAATATCCATACTAGATTGTATTGAGAGAAGCTGGTTTTTTTCCTCTCAATTCGGCAATTCGGATAACTCGTTCATTCATAATTTATAATCATATGGTGTGCTTATTACTATTACTGTCTTTTCTTTTTTAAGACAGGTCATTATTTAATTATGTTACACGCTATTATTTTAGAAAGTTCTTTGTTGCCAGTCCCCATTTTGTTATGTAAACATGACCGCATATATAGTTTATAATACGCGTGTCAACCAAATTTGGAAGTTACTGCGGACATATACGAGGCGCAGTCGAATTTATTCACTGGTCCTTTGTTAAGTGGCC